CTGACAGTGAGAGCCTGCTTGGGATTCTCTGTCTTCCTCTCTCTCTCTGCCTCCCCTTCTCAAAAATAAACAAACATTTAAAAAAAAGTATTAATATCCCCATTTTACAGTCAAGAAAAATAAGGCTCGATAAAATGTGGGCATTCGCCCAAGATGGTGGAGCCGGGATTCAAACCAAGATCTCTCTTTTAAGGCCACTGCTCTCTCCCAGGCCCTCCACCAGCCTCTTTCCCTCCAGCACCCAACAGGCAGCCCCCCTACCTCCCATGAACTGTGTGCTTGCTCCCTTGCCAATAACTTCATTCCTGCCCCCGTCTTCATTATTTATTTTTTCTCCTGGTGCTTCACACTCATGAGGCTGGGAAAATGGACGAGGCAGATGGGGAAGGAAGTGGAAATTCTGTGTAATACCATCATCTGTATCACAAAACTTGTCTTAAGTGCCAGCCCCAGGGATTTGCTGGAGTTGGTGCAACAGAGGTGGGGCTGAAGGTCAGATTAAATTGGACTAGTAACCCCAGGGGGATACTTGAAAGAGGTTGCTAAAGAAAGCGTTTCCAGCAGGAATGCTAGTGGCTGAGGCAGCAGCGGGTAGCATGCTGGCCGGCCGGCTGGGTCAAGCCTGCTTAACGGGGCTGGGTGGTGACAGGCTTGGGTTCACATGTCCTCCCCCGGAAACCTGGAATCTTGCCTTTCCCCCCCCAATAATGAGTTGGTATAAAAATGGATCTTGAATAAAATCGTCTGCAGTTTTCAAATTTCAAACTGCATTAGTCAAAATATATCAAATTTCCGTGTACTGACTTACCACCTGCTCAAAATCTGATCCTTTTTCAGCTGGAATATATTGAAATATGAATCACCTCTCCTGAGAGGAAAAAGGGAAAAGCAGCCGAGGGAAGGCCCTTTTAAAATGTGCTGGTGGGTGAACTGCACTTGTGTGCTGCTTTGGGCTCCCCCAGCCTCCCCCAGCCTCCCCTTGGCAATGGTTGCTGGCTGGTCCAAGTCCCTCGGTTACTTCCCCGTGACACCTGGTTTCTTGCTCAAACCCCTATGCTCTGGGCAGTCTATGCCGCATGCTACACAGCATGATCGCCTCAAGTCCTCAGCCTTTAACAAGTGTCAACACGGGAGCACAGATGCACCACACAGGCCGATCAACGGTCATATTGCTGAATCCAATAGTGACCTTTCGTCACTCCTCATCCACTCACACTCTTGAGAGCACTGGACACAGCTGGCCCTCCCTTTTGGAAGCACTGTCTTCTCTTTACGTCAGAGACAGGGCTCTGCCCTTTCTTCTCCTACCTGGCTGGCGGCTCTTCTCGGTCTGCTCTGCTGGCCGTCCCTCCCCTGCCTGGTCTCTGCATATCCCGATTCCCCAGCACTCAGCACTTGGACCTTCCAAGGGTCCACATCTATCCCTAGCATCAATCGGGGTGCTCACCCAGGCCCAGGTGTTAAGTACAATCTCCAGGGGGACGAAGGCCAAGATACACGTCTCAGTCCGGAACCCCAGACCAGCCCAGGTGACATTACCACGTGGATATCTGACAGGCAGCTCCACCCGACGTGCCCTGAAGGTGTTTCCCACACAGGCTTCCCCATCTTAGTAACTGACAACCCCATCCTTCTGGTTGCTCAGGATGAACATGATTCCATGTTCCTCCTTTTCCTCTGTTCTCTTTTCCTTTAATCCATCAAGTCCCGTTTGTTCTAGTCTTGAAACATCTCCCAAATCTGTCCACATCACTAGACCCCCACTGCCGGCGCCCCATCCCAAGCCGCCATCCTCTCTCCCCTGGACCGCTACAGTGGTCTTGCTAGCTGGTCTCCCTGCTTTTATCTCAGCTCCATCACCACCCACAGCCCACATCACAGCCACGAGGATCTTTGAAAACAGTAAGAGCTATCATGTTACTTTCCTGCCTGAAGTCTCCCAGTGGCTTTCCACTGCACCAAACAAAATGCAAACTCCCTACCAACCCAGAGCATCCTCCTGACCGGCCCCCACCACTTCTCCAGCCCCACCCTGCACCATTCTCGCCATCACTGGCTGCACTAGCCTTCCTGTTCCTAGACCACGGCAAGCTCATTCTTTTGCTTTATTTTATGGTAAAGTACACATAACATAAAATGTACCATTTTAACCGTCTTAAAGCGTATGATTCTGAGGCATTTAGTACATTCACAGTGTTGTGCAAACATCACCACTATGTAGTTCTAGAACATTTTCATCATCCCAAAGAGAAATCCCATACCCATTAGCAGTCACTCCCCATTCTTCCTCCCCCCGGCCCCTGGCAACCATTAATCTGCTTTCTGTCTCTGTGGATTTACCTCTTCTGGATACTTCATACAAATGGAGTGATACAATATGTTTGTCTGGGAGTGTGAGCACTGACTGTTCCCTTCCAAACAAGGCCCCCAGGCCCTTGCAGGACCACCTCCTTCTTCTTCACATTCAGGCCTCAGCTCAAACATCACCTCTCAGTTTAATGCAGATGCCCCTATCAGCTCTGGTCCCTCTTTTTTTTTTTTTTCTCCTAGTCCCTCTTGATTACATAAGTACCCTGCTCTATTTCCCTCTTAGGGCATAACACTCACTGCGAGCGTCTTGTTTAATTATTTGTTTACATGTTTATCGTCTTCCCCCTTGCCTGCCTGTTCGCTGTGATGTCCCCAGCCTCCAGGACAGTGCCGGGCACCCAAGAGGCGCTTTCGGGGCAATTATCTGTGGATTGAATGAACCAGGGCACTACCGGTCCTGTGATGGAGTGTCTACAATGCTATGGAAACGTGGATGAGGAAGAAAGCAAGCAGTGCAGCCCTGAGTGGAGTCCCAGCGGGAAGGCAACCTCCAAGGGCATTGGGGGGTGGGGGGTGGCGGAAGGGGTAGGACATTCTGGTAGAAGGAACTGCACGGTCAAAGGCCTGGAGGCACGAGAGAACATGTCCAGTTTGGAGGCCTGTGCTATCTTCTCTAGTTTGCAATTTGTCCCCTGATTGCTTCCCAGCCTCCCGCAGAGAAGACATCATATACGGCTGGGTGTTGGTTTTGATACAAGATGTGAGGTCCTGGCAGGGAAGAAAGGGTGGAGTCTGTTTCATTTGTTTCTCCCACCCTGGTTTCAGCATGTGCGGGACACCCTCACAGACACAAAAGAAAACAGACTGGTTCCAGGTTTTCTGATTTTGGAGTCACCCTGCAACCACCTTTAAGAGAGACGGAAAGGGGCACCCGGCTGGCTCAGTTGTGAGAGCATGCGCCTCTTAATCTCAGGTTGTGAGTTCGAGGCCCACACTAAGGGTAAGAGATTAGTTAAAAATAAAATCTTTAAGGGGCGCGCGGGTGGCTCAGTCGGCTAAGCGTCCAACTTCAGCTCAGGTCATGATCTTGAGGTTTGTGAGTTCAAGTCCCGTGTCGGGCTCTGTGTTGGTCGGCAGCCTGGAGCCTGCTTTGGATTCTGTGTCTCCCTCTCTCTCAGCCCCTCCACTGCTCACATTCTGTCTCTCTCTCTCAAAATTAATAAGCATTAAAAAAAATAAAAAGAAAGAAATCTTTGGGGCACCTGGGTGGCTCAGTCGGTTAAGCGTCTGACCTCGGCTCAGGTCATGATCTCGCAGTTCGTGAGCTCCAGCCCCGCGTCGGGCTCTGTGCTGATCGCTCAGAGCCTGAGCCTGCTTCAGATTCTGTGTCTCCCTCTCTCTCTGCCCCTTCCTTGCTTGTCTCTTTGAAAAAAAATAAATATATTTTAAATAGATAAATAAAATATTTTTTAAAAAGAGAGAGAGATGGAAAGGTGGGAGAACTCGATGATGTATATTATACATTGTCAACTGTGTTTTGAGGACGGGGGGGCCTCTCAGGAGGGAGGCAGAGCTAGGGTGGACCTGTAGCACCCCCACGGGTGCCCTCCTCACTGCCCTAATCTTTCTGGACTAGGCCACTGTCCCCTCTGGGTACTGGGCTGTCTGAGAGCCCTGTGTCTTTTATTTCTCCTGATCGAATCAGGCCCAGCTGACCCAGGCCCTGTGGCTCTGGGAGTCCAGCTGAGCTCCCAGGAGGAGAGGCCCTTCCCCAAAGCTAGTAGGCTCAGGAGGGCAAATTCAATTGTGTGCAAGGCAGGAGCCATTAACCTGTCTGTGGACTTTGATGCTCCCACTCCCTCTCCCCTCTGTCAGCCGGCCTGTCCAGGCTGCCTCTGCCACATTCCAGCCTCCCGCCATCCCAAGGGCCCCCTGCTGCCCCTGGTCTGTTCCCAGTCTCCTCTGTCCCTCAGTGTCCCATAGCTCCCATCACCCCTGCCTCTAGGGTCAGAGTGGATTTTGAGCTGAGGAGGAAAGCCAGACTATGAGGAATTCAGCCCCTCCTCAAAGACAAGCCAGACTCTTTGCCTTCCCACCCCTCAAACTTCTGAGTATAATCTGCCCCTAGAAGTCCTCATGGGGGCACCTGGGTGGCTCAGTCAGTTAAGCGTCCAACTTCGGCTCAAGTCATGATCTTCTGGTTCGTGGGTTCAAGCCCCACGTCAGGCTCTGTGCTGACGGCTCACAGCCTGGTGCCTGCTTCGGATGCTGTGTCTCCCTCTCTCTCTCTGCCCCTCTCCCACTCACGCTCTGCGTCTCGTCCTGTCTCTCAAAAGTAAAAATATATGTTAAAAAATAAAAATAAAAATAAATAAATAAATAGAAGTCCTAATGGGAAAGAGGCCCTGGACGCAGGCTGGGGCCATCTGAGCGGAGAACTCTGAAGTCTCAAACACGTAGAGTGTGGTTTAGAGCCAGCTGTCCAATGCAGTGGCTGCTACCTACGTGTGGCTTCTGAGCACTTGAAATGTGGCTATCTCACAGGCTTAGTTCAAAAAAGGCTTGCTATATTGATTGCGTGTTGAAACGATACTACTTTAAATATATTGGGTTAAATAAAAATAAAAATATCTTAAATGAAGTTCACTTGTTGCTTTTTCCTTTTTTCATGTAGCTGGTAGAAGACTTACAGTACCCGTGGCTTGCATTTCTGTCAGCACTGCTCTTGAGTGATGGGCACGGGCTCCAGGTGGGCACATCTCCACGGACTCCTTGCCCTTTGGGGAGGGGGACAACAGGAAGAGGGCCCGAGCAGGGCCATCCAAACCGTGGACCTGCTTGGAGGAAACCAGTCCTGACACCCACTCAAAGGGCTCCCCTAAAGGAGCACAGCTGGAGGACCGCTGAAGGACGGCCCCCAGGAAGGGGCGTGGCCTGGGGCGGGCAGCAGGGGAAGGCCTTGGCTGTCCCTCGCTGTTCCTCTAGCACGGCACCTCTTCAGCACCTACCTGGTGCCAGGTGCTGCCCGGGCACTGCAGATGCAGCTGTGGGCAGCACAGACCCTTGGGGTGGCTCACGCTGTCGTGGGGCGGCAGACCCACAGGTGGCTCCCTGTGGCCCCTGGGGGGAGGGGCAGCGGCAGGGGTGCACCCAGGAATTGGAGAGCCCCAGGAGGTGGCTCTGAGCAGAGAGAGCAAACAGAACTCTCTGGGAAAGTTGGCATGGCAGATCCCCAAGCTGGAATGCCACAGACCTGAGAAGGGAAAGAGGAGAGGGAGAAAGAGAGAAGAGGAAGGGGAAATAAAGATAGAAGAAGGAGAGGAGAGAGGGAGAGATGCCCATGAGGGGTGTGGCTCTGGTGCGGAGAACCGCTTTGGTTCCAAGGTCTGAGTGGTGGTGACAGAATGCCCAGAACGGGGCCGAAGAAGCTGACTGGAGGCTTGCTTTTGCATGGGAACAGCGAGGGCGGTGGGGTGGTAGGAGGCTGCCAGGGGTAACACCATTCTCGATAAAACTGGGAGACGTGGGTGGCACCATGTGGGGATGAGTGGGGTGGGGTGCGGGGGCTTGATGAGAAGGAGGGGCTGTAATGGGACCCCTGGGGCAGGCCAGGCTGGGGAGGCTGGCCTCTTGGTTGCCTCCTTCTCCATGTGTCCCAGGAGCCCTCAGGGAGGAGGAAGGTGGGTTGGGAACACTTCAGAGTAGATCTGGCTGACCCTCCCAGATGTTCAGGGCAGAGCTGGCCTGGGGCCTCTCCTGGTGAAGACCTCTGGACCTTCTGTGCCCTTGCCCCAGGCCTCATGGACACATGCCACCGTGGAGGACTGTGGCTTCTGTCTTCCCCCGACCCCAGAAAGGGACAACTTGCTCTCTTTCCTGCTTCAAAGCCCACAGCGCCCTGTTAGGCTCTCCACCAAAGCCCCCGCTTCCTGCTCCAGAACAGGGCCAGCTCAGTTCATGCAGCCAGGATGAGGAACAAATCAGGAGCACCTCCAGAGCTAATGAATGATCTGAGCCTTTGGCTCAGGTCAGCAGTCCCCCACCAGCCTCCCTGGTCCTCTTGTGATGGCTCATTATTCCAGTATTCCCAGGAGACAGACGGAATTTTTCCCCAACACCGCCTAATTACATTCCAGCTCTACGTGATACAGTGACATGTGTCCAAGCCACACACACAATTCCCAATAAGACCGCGAGGAGAGTGTTCCTGCAGAGGTGCGAACAGCAATGTTTTAATCTTGAAGTGTGCGCTGAGAGCTGTTTCCTGGGAAGGCCCTGGGATGACACCCTCCTCTAGGTCAAGGGCAAGCCTCATTCCAGGGTGATGGCCAGAACTAGCCCTGAGGCCAGACAGGGACAGACGGGAGAGACTTCAAAGGGAGGGAAGCTGTGGGGTGGGGTATGTGTGTTTCCTGAGAGCCTGTAACAAGGAATGGGACAGGATTCTGATCAGGAATCTCAGGAGTATTCCAACTTAATGCAGGGCTCCCTTGGATTGATTCCTTCCCCATGCCAAGTGCAGTCTCTCAGCGTGTTCCCAGCCTGGCAGAGTCCCTGGGATGGGAGAGGACAGGCTGTCTTCTGGAGCCCGGTGTGGCTCTGAGTCTCAGGCACTGCCCACCCCCACCAACAGAGCCACGGGACACTATGGAAGCTCCTGGAGGACGGGGCACGCTCCCCGGCCCCTCCTCTCCCTCCAGCCTTTGTTCCATCACCCACGATGTGAGTCGGAGCCTCTGCAGGGCCCAGGCTCACAATCTTAACCAGACTCAGCTAAGGGTCCAGCTGCATCGGCCTCGTTCTATGTGGTCTTCACAGCTTTCTGTCCTGCCCCCCTCTGTGGCCATTGCAAACCTTCCCTTCTCTCCTTGAATCCCTACCCTTGACCTCCCTGCCTGACCCCTCACCTTCACAGAACCCTCAGACATCCAGCCTCAGGCCTGAAGTCCTCAGGCCTCCTGCCTGAGGCTGGCTCTGGCCCTGCCCTCTTACCATCCCCATCCCAAGGTTTCAATTCAAATACCTACCGGGGCCAAGCAGGAAACAGAAAAGGGTAGAGATAGACCCTACCTCTACAGAAAGGGTACAGGCTCAGGTGGCAATCTGGAAGCCAGGCTTATCTCGAGGGCCCCAGGCTCTGGCCAAGCGTTGCCCTGAAAGAAGGGAGGCCCTGGGTTATTAGGTCTTTTGATTTTGCCAGAGGCTGGAAATCAGGCTTTTTTTTTTTTTTTTTTTCCTTTTTTTAAAAAAATACAATCGGCCAATCGGCTGGCAGCAAATACAACAAAACAAAGAACAAAACAAACACAACTCTTACAGCCTGATTGCCCCTGAGCCAGGCTTTCTGATAGCTGCCTCCCAGTCCCGGGCCCCACTCCCTGACTCTTCAGTCCCCAGCCATGCTGCTCCCTCTCTGCCTACAGACTCGCTCAGGTCTCTCCCACTTCCAGCCTAACCAGAATCTTCCTGCAGCTACCCAGCTACCACTTCCCTCCATCCCAGGCAAACCGCAGTGCAGTGGGCCCCCTTCCTCTCCTGTCTCTCTCTCTCAAGCCCCGGCACCTGGCATTTCACCCCTTCTCGCACACAAACTCCCAGCTTGTGCCCAAATCCAAGCTTCCAGTCCCCTGCTTGCCTCAACTGCTCCTGGGGCCAAAGCGCCCCTTCAAATCTTCTCCCGCCCCGATTTCCTTGACATAGCTCTCTCCTGGGTGCACTCCGACGTGGGCCACTCTGGCCATTCTTTCTCAGCCCCTGTCCTGGCCACCTCTTCCCCTTCTCATTGTATCCACAGTCCCCGGGGGCCACCATGACCCAGGCAACTTCATCCGTGCTTGGCTCTCTCTGGGCTCCAAATCTCAGTCTCCAATGCCTCCCTGAACATGCTCCCTGGATCTCCCAGACTCTTGCTCCTAGGTATTCACAAAATAGACATGACTCTCCAAGCTTCCTCTCCTCTATCCCGGGTCGCCTTCTTGGGGGCCACTACCTCCTCAGTTTGCAAAACACCTGGATTCTGCCTTCTCCTTCTCCCTTGGGTTCAGCTCGCCAGGTCTTACAGCTTCTGCCTTGGGAGCTCTCTCTGGATGGGGCAGCTACCTCTGGCTAATCTCCTGCCTTACCCTTGCCCTGTGCTGTCTTCCTCCGTCTGAAGAGCTTTTCTTAAACTTGGCTCTGATTGCATCACTCCGAATGTCTGTGACCCTTCTTTCAGGAGGGTGTCTAACTCTTTGTCTACTGTCCCAGGTCCTAAGCCCACATTCCCCTCTGGTCAGGAGCCCAGCCATGTTGACCTGCTGTAGTCTCTTGAATACACTGCATTCTCTTCCGTTCATAGGCCTTGGGTCATGCTTGGGTCCCTCTGCCTGGGACGTCCCTCGTTCCTTCACCTGCCTGCTAATTCTCACTTGGCCAGGGGGGTTCTCCCCACTTTGGGCTTACCTAGATCACTGTGTTCACTCAACAGGGCCTCAACATTGTCAGTTTGCATGTAGGTATCTCTTGTTGTATAGAAGAGTGAATATACAAATGTCAGACCACATATATCAGCAGAACTCTGACTCCCAATCTACGATAACCAGCCCAAGACACCATCCCATTATCTGTAGTAACCAGCCCAGGAAGCCAGCCTACTCCTTGTTGGAAATCAGATCCGTAGGACATTGGACCACATCTCTAATAGGACCACGGTCACTCCTGTGGCAATCAATCCAAAATGTCCAGGACTCGATAAGCTTCCCTAATTTTTGTCCCCACTTCCAACTCAGGACCAACCAAGAAGAGAAAGCCAAACGTGGTCCCCTAACCAGTCAGTGAGAATGCCTCACTCCCCCTTCTCCCGGGTCCAGTTTTCCCCATCACGACACCCGTCCAATCAGGACACACCCGGCGACTTTTCTCTTTCACACGAAAACTTTTCCACTCCTCTGCCTGACTTTGAGCCTCTGCCAGGATGTAAGTGACGGTGGCTGACTCCCTTGGAAGAATAGCATGCTCTGAATAAATAGCCTTTCCCTGTTCTCATTCGGTAGGTCTCCGTTTATTTCCATATGTGTAACAAACCATTCTAGATTTGACGGCTTAAAATAAAACCATTTTATGACCTCATGGCTCCGTGGGCCATGGGTTCCACAGGATGCTTCTTCTATTGTTCTCACTTGGGGTTTCTCACGTGGCTGCAGTCAGATGGTTGCAAGCACTGGGGTCACCTGAACTAAGATGCTGGGACACCTTAGCCTCTCCCCGGCTCCGAGTGATCCCGAGAGTTCGCTCAGTGCGGTTCCTGCATGTGACCTTTCTAGCAGAGCAGCCCTACGTCTTCCGTGGTGGCTCGATCTCCCAAGACCACAGAAACGAGGCTGCTGGCTCGCTTCGGGCTGAGGCCCGCAAATGGCACAGCCTCCACTCTATTGCCTCCCACTGGCTACATCAAGACGCAGGCCAGCCCGATTCCTTGTGGGGAGGGACCCTCACAAGGACACAATAGCCCGGAGCTCGGGGACTGACACTGTTCTTGGTCTCTGGGCCCTCGGCATCGAGCTGGGGGCCAGACTGAGTCAGTGCTCAGCAAGGCTGAATGACCCAGTGAATGGATGGAAGGATGGTGGGCCGGTAGATGGACAGAGAGGCCTCATACTGGCTTCCCTGCCCCCCGGCCCACACCGCCACGTTTCCTTCACATAAACACTGCTCTCTGCTGCTTAATTCTCCTCTATTTTTAAACCTCTCAAGCAGTGAGTAGTGCTTAACATTTTTTGCATCAGGACCCCTTAGGGAATCTCATGAAAGCTGCGGGAGACCCTCTCCCTAGAGAAGAGCGCCTCCATAAAATCCCTCACACTTCTGCAGCACACTAATGACAGCTGCGCGTCTCTGAGATCTTTACCGCGTGCTGCCAGCGACGATGTGCAGTGCGGCGTGACTGTTACCTGGGCTTCTCGCCCCAAACGTGCTGCAAGGTGGATCCTACCATTTCGTTCCATTTTATAGATGAGAAAGCCGAGGCTCAAAAAGGTTAAGGAATGGGGCGCCTGGGTGGCTCAGTGGGTAAGTGCCTGACTTTGACTCAATTCACGATCTCACGGTTTGTGAGTTAGAGCCCCACATCGGGCTCTCTGCTG